CCATGAAAGATATTACTCTGAAAACAATTTCTTAGTGGGGATCACTTCAGCGCGTAGGTTTTTGGGGCTGAGAGCTTTGTCGGTACACACACCTTCTACAACGACAGGGTCATCCTTAGACCAGCCCCAGCGTTAATTTCTTCAAACCCTGGCCATGAGATGGTGACAGTCTGGCATTATCTAGACGTGCGTAGGGCTTTGAGTTTTCTATATGGACAGGACCAGGGGGCTGACAAAGACTGAATCCTTGTTTGGGTATGTTACTCAGTTGTCCCTGGGAAAGACTGTCTCCACTTCTGCCCTGAGCAGGTGGATAAGGATCAGTCAGGCATACAAGGTGTAGGGGTTAGTACCTCCAGTAGGGGTCACAGGGCACTCTATGGGGAGCAGTCACATCAGCGGCATATAGGGCCTTGCCGTCCCTAGAAGTCACTTGTAAGGTGGTGACATGGAAATTTGTCCATTCCTTTACAAAGTACTATAGGATTGACAAACTAGCCTCGGCAGAAGCAGCATTTGACAGTAGAGTGCCCTTCAGGCCCTGTAGGCACCGGAAGTTGTGTGACCCACCCAGGGGGAGCACTGCTTTTTTATGTCCCAGGAGTAAGGAGTCAAGAACTGCCCCACTCCTGGACCACCGGAGAATGGAAGATTTGTATTCACTTACCGTGAAGCATCCTTCAGGCCCTGTAGGCACCGGAAGTTGTGTGACCCACCCAGGGGGAGCACTGCTTTTTTATGTCCCAGGAGTAAGGAGTCAAGAACTGCCCCACTCCTGGACCACCGGAGAATGGAAGATTTGTATTCACTTACCGTGAAGCTTCCTTCAGAGTGGGGCAGTCCTACCCACCCTCTCTTGATGGACACGACTCCCGGTCCTTTAGATTTTGCAGTGGTTCAGTTGTTCATGAATATGGTCTAACTGATTACGTGATGTGGTGGACTGTTGCTGTTTGTTTGCTCTAATGGTTAAAATACAGGTTTGTATTTGGTTAAGCCCATGGCTGTGATGGTATTCCCCAGTTGTCTGAGGGGGAAGGAGTTATTTTTTAAGTGAATTTACAGCAGCTCGAGGTGGCTTTCGGTATGACGGGATCAGAGGATAAGCCCCTCCCCTCTGGGATCAAAGTTTGCCGGCCCTGCCTACGGAAGGGGGAGGCGCTTTCCCAGGAGTAAGGAGTCAAGGACTGCCCCACTCTGGACCACCGAGAAGGAAGCTTCACAGTAAGTGAATACAAATCTTCTAGTCACCAGAGGTCGCCATGACTTCCAGGTGCACACACACTTACACCCACCCACACATAACCCCCCCAAAGATGTTAAACAATAATATTGGTCTGCCTTAAAGGGCTGCTGTAAGGATTGCCAAAATAATGCATATAAAGTATTTTTTATGTCACTATCCTAATCACTGGGGGGTCACGGCTTAGAGGTTAAGACACCTGAGTTGCAGACTGGTCGGTAGCTCGGCAGTTCGAGACCCTAGTGCTGCGTGATGGAGTGAGCTCCCATCTCTGGCCCCAGCTCCTGCCAACCTAGCCGTTTGAAAGCAAGAAATTGCAAGTAGGTAAATCAGTAAAGCTTTGGTGGGAAGGTAACAGCATTCCGTGCGCCTCGGCGTTTAGCCATGCCGGCCACATGACCACAGAGACGTCTTCGGACAGCGCTGCCTCCTTAGCTTGGATACGGAGATGAGCACCGCCCCCTAGAGTCAGATTTGACTGGCTTTCGAGCAAGGAAGATCTTTACCTATCATAATCACTATGCTAATTGAACACCTTGATAAGAAAGGAAACCACAATCACAACTGAGGTCGCATTGGATAGTATTGAGCTTCCTAATGAATTTTAATTCAGCAGTTTCAGACTAGAGTCTTCGTTTTTGAAGTACTTTTCCTGAATGACAACTTTTTAATTTAGTGGAATTTAGTGGCATACATCCTCCTGTGAGACTGAAAGGTTCTTCTGTCGCTGGCTTCTGAATGTTGCCAGTTCTTTACATCAGACTCATATGCATTTTGCATAGTGGCCGACCTGTTTGTCCTGTGTGGTGTGGAAGGGTGTTGCTGGCATGTGATCGAGACTGGATTCCCTGATAGTATGACTGGTACTGGTAGATCCTGTAATCTTGCATCAAACACATGCTCCACATTTTGATTAAAGTGACTTATAAAGGATTTTTTTAAAAAAATGGATGTCCATCTCTTCCATTTGCAATCTGACAGAGCAGGGTTCTTTGTGACAGAAAAGGCAGAAGCAGGATCTTGTGGCTGCTTGTTCTCTGGCCAGTGAACAGAACCAGGCTGGTTTTTCTCCTTGCCTGGGTGGCATTCCTGGGGGGAAGGCTGTAAAACCTCCCAGTGGTCCTCTGGCTGGCACCAAAAGCCTGTGTCTTGCTCTTCACCTCGACAGGCCTAGGGCAGCTGGCAGGTAGAGAAGAAAGCCTCTTTCATAATGCAATCCTATGCAGGGTTACTCCAGACCAACTGATTTCATTGGGCTTATACTGGAGTAATTCTGCACAGGGTTCCACTGTCAGTATTATCGATTCTGTTGCTCCTTGTTTGTTTCTATGTGTTATCAATCTGTATTTCTCTCTTCCTTTAACAGGTTCACCCACTCTGTTAGTTTTTCTGGTCACTCTACGCTTGGCTGGCATTCTGTAATGTCATTCCCCCGCACAGTTGCACACACTTTATTTATCATAGTGTGATGATTGCACAAGACCAAAATTTGCTCAATACACACAAACTGGCAACGATACCAGATTATAATAAGGAAATTAACAATTGCCTTCTGAGTCATAATTTATCAAACAGATGGAATTGATAATGTAGTTTTATGGAGAGGGAAATGGAAGGTTATCGTTGACCTAATAACAAGGCTGTTTTAAATTTGTCAGTGACCACAAAGCAAACGAAATAAAACAACCATGCAGTGACAATTGAAGATGTAACTGAATTTTATTCCAGTGAAGAATTAATCAATTTTTTCCAGCATCAGCTTCCATGAGTCTGAGCTCACTTCATCAGATGCATTGGAGTGTACATCCATTATGCTGAGTATGCCCTTGGAGCCTCAATCATCATCTCATCAGTCTCCCAAAGATCCTTCTTCTGGTGATGAAGGTTTTGGAAACTATGAAGTTCTTATGTGTCCTCTGAGTGTTCTTGATTGCAGAACTATAACATTTTAAGATGCTCAGAAGAATCTGTAAATACTCCATGCAGTGAACTGCACATAGATATGCAATACGCATATTTGGCACATAAATAAAAGGCCACTAGTGGAATTCATTCTAGAAGAATTTATCAGAATTTCTCACTTCAGCCTATTCTTACCTGTGCAGATGGCATTCATGCTGAATTTTTTTTTGGTCTTTCTGCAAACCTCTATTCCTGCTTGGTGTTCCAGCCTGTCCTGTGGCCAGAGTACTCCTTCTGGAATTTGTGGGATGCTGTTATCCAGTACCAGATGAACCACAGCGCTTTGCAAGTAAGACCCATAGAAAGTATGAGGCAAAGACAGAATAGTAAAACAAAGGACATACTTTATATATTAACTTTGCTAATCTCTTAAATCTCGGAGTGGCTGTAATGCTAGTTTTTCAAAGAGTTTACTGCTTTAAAGAGTTGAATCAGCATCATCGGGTCATTTGGGGGGGGGACGCGGGGGGACGCCATCCCCCCGGGTGAGGTGCGGGAGGGCAGGGCCTGGAGCTCCCTGCTGGTGCCCACTGGAGGTCGCCGCCGGCTGTGGGGAGGACACACTTCCGGTGATGTCAGGGGGTGTGGCATATGCTAATGAGTTATGCTAATGAGTCCCCCTAGCTCTTTTTCTACGAAATGACCCCTGAGCATCATAATTCTGAATATGGTATGTATCTTAGCTCTGCTCACAATGGTTGATGCTTTCCTCCAACTTCAGTGGTTTTTTCTGCCAGTAGAAGAGCTAAGTTAGGGGAAGACTCCTTAAGCTGAAGGAAGGCTTTTGACTTTTCTGAGCAGATTGGTAGGATACTGGACATGACCGATATGTGTGAGCAAGGACTGAAATGATGTCATACTGGCCTTTGTCTTTCTCTTTGTGCATGGAGCTTTCCATTGTTCCTATATATTCCTGCTTCTGTTTGGAACAATAGCAGTACAAGTCAGAGAGATTGGGGTAAGGAGTGGGACAGAGCAGAAGCACTCCTCCTGTATCAATAGTGGTGCTTCACAGAACACCATACACATTGAGGCCACTATAAAACGATACTTGAGGTCAGAGAGTGTAACAATAAATAGTGGTCTGGATCATCTTTCTGCCAGGTTTCCAGAGAGTTACTGTTGAGTCTTCAGAGTGGTAGATCACAACATTACAAAAGATCTCTTAACAGGGCCTCAAGCCACTGAATCAACGGGCTGCATACATAGGACTGTGTGCAAAAATCTCTGTGCACTGTTCTGTGGGAAAGATTATTGATGCTGAATTACAAGTGGGCAGGTGATGGGCAGGAGGTAAAATAGGGTTGGAAGGGGGGATCCGAAGCTCAGAAAACTTGGAAATGTTTCCCTGGAGGGATTTTTGTAGGCACTTCTGGACTTTAGAGTCAAACCTAAGAGCACAAAAAAGGTTGGTTTGTGCTTCTTGCCTACAGCAGAGAGAAACTGATAAAAATGCTATTTTTTTTTAAATTCAGAAAGCCAGAGAGCTGTACCTGGAAGAAAGGAAATGGCAGCAGCTAGAAAACGACAAGACGTATGTAACTGAGAAGCTGAAACAAGAAGAGTGTGCATCCCCAGGTGATCCTCAGCGTCGGCGGGACCTCTTTCAGGAATGCAAAGCTCAGCGAGAAGAGAGGATCCAGGGCTTTTTGCAGGCCTTGGAAAAGAAGAGAATGGACTTCCTTGTAAAACTAAGCAAGGTGTCCGCATGACACAAAGGAACTTGTAAGGGGAGGGTGGTGAAGAGGAGGAAGCATGTAAGCCAAGTTAGGATCCATGCAGCTACTGTTCAGAGTGCTTTGTTCAAAAATGGGGTCTACTGAAGGTCTTGTTTTCCCAGTAGACATGGCAGCAAGGCTCTCTCTCTTTTTTTAACCTCTTCTTATTTCTGGTGGTTATCCAGACTGTTGGAACACGTTACTGATTCCTAATGTAATACAGTTTAAGAGGTGGTGGAACACACAGTTAGCTGTAGAACTGGTCAATAAAAGACAACATTGTGTAGTGGTGTGTGTGAAAGAAGTGCTGTGTGCACATGGGCTTCTTTTTTTGTGCCGTTTTCCCAAACTGCAGTCTTTCTGCGTTGCTCTTTCAGGGCTTTTTGAGAGGTTGTTTGCGATGTGGCACAGGGAGACTGCACTTGTTAAAGTTTAAAACTGCAAATATATGCACTTGGGAGGAAGCCCTGCTGACCCTGGCAGGGTTTAGCTCTGAGAAATCCTGCAGTAGGCTATAAGTGAAAAACTGTATAAGAGCTGTATAAGAGAAAAACCCTGTTGTATGCACACCAGTGTGTGTGTGGTGAATATGAGCCCCATGAGTTCTAGAGAGGCTTTATTGGTCTTCTTCTGCTAGTGAGGTAGACTGGCTATCCAATCTCTTTTTGTCCTTCCATATCTAGTTCCTTGAGTCCTTGGTGCCAGAGACATTGGAATTGGAGGGCAAATGTGCTTGCAGAACAGCACAGGTGGCCATGCTGCTGCACTCATTTTAATGTTCCTCTTGCTCAAAGAGCCTTGCAGAGCTTTGGACAGACATATTGACCACAATCCAGGTTATTCTACATGTCCGTATCTAATGTTGCGTTCTTCGCTTTTTAAAAAAAGTGTGTGTACATGAATGCGTGTGTGGTGTTTTTAGTTTTTACTTTTTGATGGCACTTGTCCGTTTTTTAAAAAAAATTGAAAATTAAGCATGCTGGTTGCAGCTGGAAGATGATGATTGCAATATCAAACAAAATAAAACATTTTCATGACAGGCATCTTTTTAAAAAGAGCTGAACGTTATTAAGAGTTTCTGTTTTTCTAAAAGCTAAGTGAACCCCAAAGTTTAATGATCTTTTAAGCTTTTCAGGCTGAGGATGAGCAGACTGCTGATTATTGGGAAACTTGTAATTCAACAAGCAATGAAGAGAGATGCATCCTTTGATGCAAGTAACAAATGCTGTATACAGAAATATTTGTTGACCAGTAAATTCAGAACTTTGTATGTGCAAATTCCCCCAACAGGGCAAATGTCAGCTCCCTAAAGCTGACTCAGAAAAGGAAAACAGCACTGGGAGGGGAAATCATCTAAGCCCCTTGCCCTGCTTGTTGTAATCCTGGTCTGGACTGTAGGTCCTACATGCCTGGGAATTAAGCTTCATCTTAGAATTCCCAGTACATGTCTGGTTTGTCAGGGCACAAAAGCCCCAAAAGCAACACATCACAAACATAGGTACTTTGTCAGGACCTATACCAAAATAACATTTGTAGGTTGGTGTTTCTGTGTTTACGGTGATGCCTGGAAGCATGCCATGATATGAAGTTCAGGTTCCCCCCCAAAATTCCTTGGTGACAGTAAGTCTCCCTATAGTGCAAAGATTTGGAATCTAATTTTCATCACCTCTCCCTCCCTAAGCTTCATTTCAGGAAGAATAGTGGACTGCAGTGAGAGGCAGGAAAGTTCTGTTCTGCTGATGGAAATACCTTCCACTGGTGAGAAGTTTAGTCTGGCTCAAACCCTAAGACATGTAGTCAAAACAAAATTAATTCAGATCCCAGGCACTGCACACACGGACTGCCTAGAGGAAGCTCTATGAATGCATTCATTTATACCATGTTTCTCCTACATCTATAATGGGTTCTTGAGGCAGCTTACAAAGAATAGGGCCAACCTCCAGGTGGGTCTGAAGATCTCCTGGAATCATAGCAGATCTCCCAACTACAGAGATAAGTTCCCCCTTAGGGTTGGCAGCTCCAGATAGGGAAATGACTGGAGATTTGGGGGTGGAACCTTAGGAAAGAAGCAACCTCAGCATGATATAATGCCCATAGAGTCTACCCTCCAAAGCAGCCAACTTCTTCAAGGGCACTGATCTGTGACATGTAGAGAGCAGTTGTAATTCTGGGTAATCTCCAGCCCCCACATGGAGGTTGGCAAGCCTAGTTCCCTGTGAGGAAATGGCATTATATGGCTGTGAGGTCCCTTCCTTCCTCAAACCCTACCTTCCCCAGGCTCCAGCCCACAAATCTCTTAAGAATTTCCTAACCTGAAATTGACAACCCTATCTCCTTCCCACCCAACAGCCAACCTACCTTTATCTGACCATGACCCTCTGTCTTCAGCTTCCCCCCACCCCAGCAGCCTCCGCCTAGGAAAATTCTGGCCCATTTGTGTGGTGCTGGCCACTGGGCCAGGGCCACTTGCATGGTAGGAATCCTCAAGGACTTGTGGGGTGGAACCTCACTTTCCCCTGCATCCCCCTCCCTGCACTATTTCTACCCTTCTTTCCTCCCCATACGCTCTCCTCTTTTCCTGCCTCATTCTCTCCTTCTCAGCCATTTAGCAACCTACCTTTTATCTGCCATCTTCAGCTATATTATTTATTTACTTTTATATCCCATCTTTCTCCGCAGTGGGCAACAAAGCAGCTTATATTATTCTCCTCTCCTTTTTATCTGCACATTATTCTCCTCTCCTTTTTATCTGCACAACAGCCCTGTGAGGTAGGTTAGGCTGAAAGGATGTGAACTGGTCCAAAATCACACTGTGAGCTTCCATAGCAAGATTGGGATTCAAACCTGGGTCTCCCAGACGCTACCCGAAGCTCTAACTGCAACACCACATTGGCTTTCATAGGGTGGCTGCTGTTGAACAGTAGGATATATTACAACAAACAGGACCACGGTGTATAATAGCTAGTAAAACAGTAAATCACTGTGTACAATTAAACAATATTTGTTGGTTTTTATATGCAATGTTTAGAATTCAATTATTAACAAAATTACAACAATAACACTACAATATGTGATATAAAGCTTAGCAGTACATACGGAGTAATACAGTACTAGTTACAGACAAAACGACGGATTTCTTGTACACTATCCGTTTGCATGTCCTTCGGGTTTGTCATTCTGTAATTATTTCTTCATTAGAATGAAGTGCTGCAAGCTGCAATGGAGTGTAACATGCTTAATAACCAAAAACATAAAAATTATTCTAATATATCGAGGAGAATTTTACATTTCAAAATGCTGCAATGGAGTGTAACATGCTTAATAACCAAAAACATAAAGATTACTCTAATATATCGAGGAGAATTTTACATTTCAAAATGCTAATTCTTATACAATTTTTTTATGTACGCTACCGCGCTTAGATTCTAGAAAAAAGCAGACAAGCACAATATGTATTTCACAATTCTCCAATGACAACACATACAAAAAAAATTCAAAATAAAGAGAACATTTTAAAATTTACCAACCTGGTGACTGGGGAGCTCCTATAGCAAGCTCTAATGTGACTGGGTCTACAGCATATAATAATTGGCTAAGCTTCCCTCAGTGTGGCACAATATCTGAATGGAAAATAGGCTGCAACAGGTGTTATGTTTTAAGATGGCATGTTCTATCTTAAAGGTACCCTGACCATTTACAGAAAATAACTCAAGTCTAATTCCTGATTTAATCCTGATGGAATCAGTGTGTGTAGCCTGAAGATAAATTCAGCTTCTCTTTGTAATAAAACGCGGGATATATCCACTTGATTATAGGACTGTGATCTGTAATGAAACAATGGTTTACTGTTTTACTAGTTGAACAGTAGGAGGCAGCCAGGCCTAGTTGAGTCATGGAAGTTGTTTGGTATCAAGTCATCCAGAGGTTGCTTCCTGGCCTGGGGTTGCCAATCTCCCAAGTGAAATCTCAGATTTACAACTGAATTCCAGATGATAGAGATCTGTCCCCCTGGAGAAAATAACTTTTTGGGGGGTGGAATCTGATATTATATTTAGCTGAGTCCTCTCCCTTCCCCAAACCCTGCCCTCCTCAGACTCCACCACAAAATCTCCAGTAACTTCCCAACCTGGAGGTTGCAATTCTAGCCAGGCCTGGCTCCAAGATGCCCTCCCTCATAGGCCCAAATAGATCAGGAAAGGGCCATACCCCCTCCCCTTGCCTTTTATTGACAGAACCAAGCCTCAGGACTCTGTGGTTGCCTAGCAACAGCCTTCCACAGCAAGATGGGGACCTGAGCCTGGGTCTCAGATCCTACTCTGAATTTGCTACACCACACTGGCTTTCAAAGGGTGGCTGCTGTTGAATACTAGTAAGCAGCCAGGACTACTTGAGTCATGCAAATCAGGTGGTATCAAGTCACTCAGAGAGTGCTGCCAGGCCTAGGTTTGCCAACCTACAGGTGGGACCTGGAGATCTCCCAGAATTACAACTGAACTCCAGATATCTGTCCACCTGGAGAAAATGGCTGCTGTGGAGGGTGGACTCTGTGGCATTATACCATGCTGAGGCCTCCCCCCCCTCTCCAAAACCTGCACTCCTCAGACTTCATCACAAAATCTCCAGGAACTTCCCATCCTGGAATTGGCAACCCTGGTCAGGCCTGGCCACAATGAATTCTCCCTCAAAGTCCAAAATAGGCCAGGAAAGGGCCCTGCCCCCTCCCCCTGCCTTTTTACTCACAGAAACTGAAGCTTGGAATATGGTGGTTGCCTAGCAACAGCCACTGAGGAATCTGTTACTTAAAGCTACAGGTGCTTCCTTTTATCATTTTTGGATTTTTTTTAAACCACCCAATGTGTTTTTTTGTGTTTTTTTAGATTTCACATTTTCCTGCAAACCTGGGGTTCTTTTCAAGTTTGTAGAAAGATGAGTCTTGGGGCTTCACTGCTCCAGTCACCAGATTTAAGTACCCAAAGATGTAAAAAGACAGTGGCATTAAAATGAACATACATGTTACACCGTTCTGCTAACAGTAAGAGCAGAGTGCAATCCACTAGAACAGAACCAGGTAAAGCTTGCAACCAGCTAAGCAAATATAAATGGCTTCAGCTATTACTTGAAGTTCAACAGAGGGGCAGCCATCCTAATGGGGAGAGAGGAGGGAGCTCCAGCAGTAAGGGGCTACTACAAAGATGTTATCTCTTGCTTTTTGAAGAGGAAGCATCCAGCTGGACTATGGAAGCTGTCAACTGTCGGTGTGAAGTCACAGGGGAGTGTAACCTAGTCCCTGGCCACTGATAATTGTAAGCTAAAATCTAACACTTTGAATTGTCCTAGAAGAAATATTAGCAGCCTGTGCCTCCTTTCAGCACAGGTGTGATCTGTTCCCGGCTGTTGCAACCAGCCAGCAAATCTTGTAGCTGCTGAAGCCCCCTCAAACAGCAGCTATGGGGTGGCGTCCTTGAAAGAAGCAACACAGAAAAAGGAAATGAGCTAAGCATTGACCAAAGGTGCTGTGGATCATGAGTGTGCCTATGCTGCAGACACATTTTATTTGCCTTAGACCTTGTAAGCTGTTCTCAGGGAAGAGAGTAGGGTGAAAACATGTTTTAAGTAAGGTAAGCTTTCTACGGCCCCGGTCACACGGGCCGGATATCGCGGGGGGAGGCGTGGCTAATTGCCCCGGCGCAGTTTGATCCGCGATTACGCGATCAGACGCGTCGGCGCCGGTGGGTAAACGAGGGACCGGAGGGGAATGCCGCGCGCCGGCACGATCATACCACCGGCGTCTGGAGGCCGCCCGTGGCAAACGTTTACTAGTACCTTGGAGGTACTAGTTTTTAAAGGCGCATTGTCGGCGGTAAGCCACGGGTGCACTCCACTTCCCAGATGTTGGGGTGTGATCGTGCCCGGATAATCCACCCACCATCCGTGCCTCTCCCGCGGCAACTTTGCCGTGTGACCGGGGCCTACATGATTCAAAGGCAACACTTGCCACTGTTAAAAGGTGAAGACTAGAAAAAGCAGTGGTGACCATGGCAGGTTCTAAGTGGTGATTGGGGAGTGGAGGAGGGTGTTGAAAGAATAAAAAAAAATAGGG